TGTGTATTGCAGAAAAAACAAAAGACAAGGAGGAGAATCTTCATTTTAAAAAATGCTTAGTTTTCGTGGAGGACATGTCTATAATTATAGACACCCCTATCAAGTAAGTCTAAGTTTTAAAAGTGAGGTCTCATGGCATTTATCTTGTACATTTATGTTTCAGATGCTAAAAATGAATATTAACTATAAAATATATGTTGCCCTATTTGACTAGACATCATTATATTCTAAAATGATTTTGACTAGCATCTTAAGCTTTAGAGACAGTGATATTGGGGTCATCAAGACAATTACAAAGAGAAATTAGGGGAAATGATTGAAAACCTATCCTGAATATATCAATCGAGATCTTAGAAAGGATAGCAACAATACAGAAATATTAAAATATGTTGAAAGTAAATGAATATATATGCCATTTGGGTTCCCGGAAGAAAAAAGGAAATCGTTAATAGGAGTCTATGATATCAATTTAAGTATTCTCACTGTGGCTGGTGAGCTCTTTGACCGTGGACAAACATGTAGCTCCTCGTCATGGCTCTCAACCACCAGATGATGGGCTCCAACTGGACCGATTTCTTGGATCCCTTCCAGTGCTAACATTCTGCCCCTCCAGAGGGAAGTAGGGCTCATGCTAAGGAAAGTAACACCACGTTTACATTAAGCTCAGACAGCACTAAGAGAAAACATTTAGGAGCATATTAATTCTTTGGGTACTTCAACATTATTGACCTTAGAACCATCAGTACAATTCCTTCAAAATGTAGCTAAGAGAACTGGGACTTTGGAATACTCATCGGGAAGGATGAGTATGTCCCACAGGAAAGTGATGGACAAAGTCAGATGTCAAAGTCTGGTTTGTGCCCACCAGCACGGTTCATTCTAGCTCATCATTGCTCACACTCACAAACGCTTCAGAGTGTTGTCGTAGTGAGTCACTGTTCAGTCCCTTTTAGCTCAGGTTGACCCCATGTCTGCAGAACAGAGCTTTCCACTTCGATGTCTGCTAAGGCATCTCGGTGGTGGGGGTGGGGGTGGGGGTGGGTGGTTCAAAGCACCAACCCTTTGAGTGCTTAACTGATTGGGCTTCCCAGGGACTATAGTACATAAGACCCTGTTTTGTGTCCTCTGTGAGTTTTAAGCTTAATTTATTTTAACATGCGCCTTTGAGAAAATGGATATCTTGTCTCTATTGAGCAGATGAGGAAACTGAAGGATAAATGAAGAAACTTTTACAAAGTCTTATAAATAAATACTTTTAAACTTTATTTG